AACTCTTTTATATTGTAGGTGGCCGGAAACCTCACGAGTTGGGTTCATGATAAATTGTAACGACTGCAGAACGACTACGATGTCAGTCTGTACATAGTGTTTCGCGTGCCGATTGACCGTGTCCTATCAGCTGGAAACGTGCCACGGAGACGAGACACTCTACTAAGGAAAGTTAAAAGTGTAAAACCTGTAATTTTGTTTTTGGAATAATCATAAGAAATATAACCGAAGTTGATTTAGCTGTTTGAAGGAATTAAAGGGAATATACATCATTTGCTTTTGCTGTAATTTTCAGAAATGGATGGAATTGGGGGGGGGGGGGGTTGGAAATATATAGCAAATATAGTTATACTGACTTTTTGAGGTTTTGGGTTCGAAAATGCTTTAAAAAAAAAACAATCATTTTCCTGTAGTCTGGTTCCCTGACTCCATATAAGAAGAAACATAGCAGTTTACATACATTGGGGAATTGTAAGGTCAGGGAACCAGTCTAGCAGGATTGTACCCGTTCATAGGTGTGTAATCGATTGCAAACAAGTGCGATGGTCAATTGGGGCCAGAATATGAAAACAAGCCAGTTTTTTCCAACGCTGGTCGGTCGAAATTGATGCAAAAATACCACTTTTCTTGAAAATGACAGTATACCAGGTGCCATGATTTTACAGGATGCTTTCCACTGTCATTCACTAACAGTCCAGCAAGGTATTTCAAAATGATTTGGTAGTTTTATTTTTTGATGTTTGCAAATGTTGTATTTTCCCTTTAAGTGAAAACAAAATTGTGATTGTATTGTCGAGCGTTTAAAATTGTTGAGCGTTTAAAATCTGAAAGGTTGATTTAGTTTAATTTGATTTACCCAGTTTATTAGAACCGAACAGAAGTACTGATATTTGATTATAGTGAATTTTGAATTGTGGTAAAGTCACCGTTGGATTTGAGATTCAAATTATTTATATCTGATTGGACTGAATTCTGAATTGGATTTTGGAGCTAAGGCTGAATTGAACCAAGAGTTACGGCTGAATTTCAGAGCCATATCCTACAGTTGGATTTGATTTTGGATTGTGTCGTTGTACACTCAGTTACAGAGATTTGTGATTTGTTTTAGAAATTTACGAGTTGAGCTTGAGAAATTGAATTTGTAGACTAAGTTGTAGGAGAAAGAATGTAAAACGCCTAACTGAGATTGATTATGAGAAGTTTAATCCACGAGTCCGGATCTTTGTTAATATTGTAAATAGTTTGAGTTTGTGAATATAATTAATTGGTGAATTATGTCCTTGTTTCTCGTCGTCAGTTCTTTCTGTCTTTGTACTTTAGTTTCTTTTTGACCAGGTTCATGACTTTAAAATTCGAGTTTTATAGTTAGTGGTGACAGATTACATGATCCCACATATTTTGAATTGTATCCCAAAAGGACAGGGAAGTTTTGGTCAAATAAATATCTGCTTTTGGCTGTTGCAAAAAATCAATATGTTTTGGCCTATCCCTCAACATATTGACAGTTTGTTTTGTGTACAAACAAAAACAAATATTGATGCCAATAATCTCTATAGTTTCTGTCAATTTTGAACAGGCTTGTGTTGCCAGTCATCCTTATTAACTAGGCAAAATTTCAATCCAATACAATAAATATAATTGTATTGATCGTGTGACATAGGTGTGATTGTTTTTCTTTTTCATTGTTATGCCGATTTTCTTGACGCCGATAATCTCTATATTTTCTCTCAATATTTAATAGGCTTGTGGTGCCAGTCATGCTTAACATCTAAGCAACATTTCGATCCAATAAAATAAATACTTTTGGAGTGACCGTGTGACGTATAGGTGTGGTTTTTTCTGTTTAATAGTGAGACCCATTTCCTGTAGCCCATTGCTTCACTTTGGAGGGGTTGTGCCCGTGTCACTAAAATTATATTGAGGCCGATAATCTGTGTGTTTTCACTCAATATTTAACATGCTTGTGTTGCCTGTCATGCTCAACCTCTATGCAAATTTCAATCCAAGTTTTTGAGTTATCGTGTGACATAAGTGTAATTGTCATTACCGACACACTACCGTAAAAGTTGGTACCCTAACAATTCTACACAAAACCCCTAAAGCAGGTGGTTATGTGCACAAACCTTATCAGACGGCCATCCAAGCTCAATTGACTTCTGCTAAAAAAACCTCAACCCTCATCATAAAGAAAAAGACAGAAGTATCGGACCAACTTTTTCGAGAATGTGTTCATAATTGTCTGACAATGCAATTTCTGGAAATAATATGTATGTCATTAATTCACGGTTCCTGTCAATATTCGAGATTCCTGTGTCAAGTGGCAAAATATTGAACGAGATTTAATGTTTATGCAAAAGTGTTCAACTTGAGATTTCATCTTTACATTAACTTTGTTCACATGGCGAATGAACAGAAGTCGGCGTGCGGTAAGCAGTGTTTATGTAGCGCTCCCTCTTTTGGAAGAAATCGATAGAGTACCCCTTACACTACACTATCATGAAATCATATTTATGTTATTCTTTCACAGTTGATGTCATTACTCAAGATTGTCAAATATCAAGGCAAATTATTGGATGAGATTTTATTTTAATGCAGATCGTCTATATTGAGATTTTGTCTTTACAATTACCTTGTTTACATCGGGAATGGACAGAATCCGTCGAGCAGTGTTTGTATAGCGCGCCCTCTTTTGAAAGAAAGCCCTCTTTTGAAAGAAAATAATGGCGATTTAAATACAAAGTTTGCTTACACTGTAATTTCCTTAAATATATATTCATGTCCCCTTTTACGGTTCCTGTCAATATTCGAGATTCTTGTGTCAAGTATCATGGCAAAATATAGGACAAGATTTCATTTTAATGCAGAGTGTTTATTTTGAGATCTCGTTTTTACAATAACTTTGTTTACATCGCGAATTGACAAATGTCGGTGCGCGGTAACCGGTGTTAATATAGCGCGCCCTCTTTTTGAAGAAATGTATGACGATTTAGATGCGGAGTTTATTACTGACAAATTACCGTAAAGGGTACCCTAATAATTATACTTAAAACCCCTAGAGCATGGGGTTTTGTGCATAAACCTTATCAGACGGCCTTTCACGCTGAATTGACTTCGGCAAAAACTGCAAGCCTCATCATAAAGAATAATTTAAGACAGAAAATCCGGACCAAATTTTACAAGAATGTATTTGTAACGGTGTGTTTTCTGTTTAATTGGCTGATTTTCTGGAGACCGTGGTTTCATTTTGGCTATAATGATCTGTCTGTGTTACAAAATGTTTATTGACGCTTAGAATCTATATGTATTCACTTAATATTCAACAGGCTTGTTGTGCCAGTCATGCCTAACATATAACTAGTATTGAGTAAAAAGTAGACTCTAATGGCTCGGGCAATATCCCATACAATATTGAATGTATTAACCAATTTGTAGAGTAATTATTCATAATGTGTCACGATGGCCAGCATAATTTCACACTAACTCGTCCAAAAACAAAACCAAAGTGACCGAAACAACTTAGTTTTTAACAATAAACAACAATCCGAATGAGTCAATGTTCACTTTCACAAACCGCTCGTTGGTTAGAGGAATAACCTAAAAATACATTCGTATTGAATATCATCGTATAGACAGAAAACACTCTATGATTCGGGTGATTAGACATGATTTACTGATTGTATTGTCTTACAAGAAACATTTTAGTGTTTTATGCGTGAAAAAAATGTAATCCGAATGAAAGCAACCTTGGTGGCAAAAAAGTCAAATTTCTTCTCGAGCAATATCGTCTTTATGTTCGTGTACCAGATGATCCCTTCAAATTAATTGAAGGTTGTTCTCTCCGTGACTTGTTATTCAACACCCTCAAACGATGTTTTTGTTATGTTTTCATTTTCGAGCAATACACGGGTTTTGCACTTCGAGCGAGAAAATTGGCCACGTTAATTTTATAACAATTTTAAATTCCGAACTATTCTCGGCCCACAAATATTTAAAGCGAAATTTTGTAGCATCAGTGGCCCAAAAAGTACCCAAAGTCTCAGTCCTTTTGAGGGGGGTTTTATAAGCAAAAAAAACAGACAAATGTAGCCTCATCGCTAAAACTCAACATACCGGTAACAAATTGAAAGTCTGTTGAAGGAAATAAACCTATTTTTGTTAAAGTTACGCGCACGTGAAAAACAACGTTAACTTCACCTGTATTTCGACCGATAAATTAATTCGAGAGAATATCAATACATGTGCCACGGTTTCCAAAATGCAGCGCAGCACACAACATTTGTTCTTAATTGTCCTTGGTAAAGTTAAATTGAATGTTCAGGCCAAAAATACGTGACAGAAATTGCAAAAGTCGCAATGCTCTTGATTTTGTATCTCTCTACGCCAGTTTAGCGTCTTAATTTGCTTTGAACAAGCTTTAAGCTTTTTTAGACATAAGATTTCATTTTTAAAAACGCATCTTCCGTTCGAAATATTAACATTAATAAATGTTACGAAAACTGTTTTTTATAACGCCAGGATTTGACATTTTTTTTTTTTTTAAGAAAGATCAAAACACTTTCAATTTCTCGTTTATAACATTTGTCAAATGTTGTGTGAATATAATGTGCACAAACGTATTGAGCAAATCACAATTCTGATCTCCTTATGTTTTGTTTCCGGTAAGGGTTCTTTTGAATCAAATTGTTTAACAAGAAAACATTTTTTTTTAGTTGCCATGTGCGCTGACTTAGCCATCAAGATCACCTTGATTATAATTATGAGCGCATGCGCGCAGACTACACGATCCACACCCCGAGCACCTGATTAAAGTATACATCTCATGTTTCTCATGAATCTTGTGATTTTTGAAATAATGACAATAAGTAAAATCTTCAAAATTAGGTTGGCGCAGACAGTCTTGTTTAAGGCATGATGCCATTCGTACCATGGTTACCACCATTACATCATCACCTCTAAAAAAACCAACAACGATACATCAGAGAAGGGATGTCATGCAAGTAAACATTTTATTCTTCAAAAAAGTATGCACCAAAAAATGAAACAGAAACAAAAGAGCTGTAATACAGCCATACAATGGAGTTGCTTGAAAACTTGCAAATAAAAGTTGCAAAAAAAGCTGTAAAAGAAAACTTCTGTGATTCATTAACCACCACCAACTTTTAGCGATGCAATATGGAACTTGTAACGTTACAGCGAAACAACCAGAAACCAAACAAAATCTTATTTTGTGAGAATTGAGTCACCCAAAAGGGTAGAAAAAAACGTGACTGGTAATTTTTTGAGTTATCTTCACATGTGAAAAGTTAATTATCTATGTCCATGGAAAGACAGTCGTCCAACCAATTACTAGTCATTGGTAAACGTGTTAGGAGTAGTCCCATGTTAATTTTCTTGTGAAAAGTTGCAGACACATCGTACCATAAGCTGCGAAAGTAAAGTGCTTGGCTCTTATTCAGGCAAACAACAAATTAAGTGCCTTGTAATGCCTACTTTTTTAACATTTGGCAAGGACAAACCCATCCACCAGATAAAACAAAACAAAAAATCAGGCTTAATTCGAAGTCGGGCGTCATTTAATTCGTAATCGCGTTATGATTTGTAAACTGGTCTTTTCGAATTCGGGTCAAGAAGGTGATAATATTCTTAGCACTGTCCGGAAGACAGCACTTCAACGTAGACCTCACAGAGTTGAAGAGTCGCAGTGCCCGGAATATCGACGCTCACGTAGCGCGCCCTCAACGGTCGACCGCACTCAACCACGATTGTACCGCCCAGTGGTTGGGCTTGATCGGCAGTGATTGGTGCCCCGCATGCCTGGTTCCCAATAACGGTCTCCCTTGATCCAGCACGAACAATTGCGTTTTTCAGACGTTCACCTGTAAATAAATCAACAGTTCGGATTGATAGGAATTGACAGGATTCATATTTATAAGTTGTTTTACTCTTTTGTTGTGTTTTGTCATGTTTATCTTTTTTTTTACAGCTTGTTCAAGAAAAGGACTTATTTCCAAATGATCAATTAAACTGTATTTGCTATTGGGCTTTATTAGCCTGAATAAAATACACGTTAAAGTAATTGTACTGACTTCATGTAATGTGGACAGTCATTGCTTATCGTATTACAAAGAATTATAGTCTTATTTTGTGCCTTATAAAACAATGATTTGTGTGGATTGAATAATGTTAGTGATTGTAAGGTATGTGTGAGTAGCTTGGAAAGCTAAGGCATGTTTGTACGCATACCCGGAAACACAAGGGTCATATTTTCCTGTAATTCAGTATCCCAACTTTTGTGTCCAGTGAATATATTGTTATACTTACTACAACAGTCTCCGCGGTTCAGGATGGTAACCTTAGTAACGCATTGCTGACTACCGAGATCGACTCTCCACCAGGGATTCCGCTCGTTATCTTATCAAAAGAGAAAATCCATCAGTTGTTTTCCGACTAGAAACATATGTTGTTGTAGTTGTTTTTGTTGTTGTGCTCGTTTATTAATATAAGAAGGGTTCTCGAAATAAATGCAATTAGGCCAAAAAAAATACTCGGTCTCTAGTCAGTTCGCGCGTCGATTTTAATCATGCGCGTCAACCTTTTTTTTTTCTTCAAATTAACACGGAAGCTACAACAGCGCCCTCTTTTGCCGCACCTCCTCAAATGTTCGTACCAAGGAGCACCAAGGAATAGGGACATTGCACCAAGACAAAAGGGCACTAAGGCAAATTATGGAGGACACCTATGTATAATGAGGACACAAAAAAGCAAAATAGTACCCACCTTGTCTGTACAATTCAAGCTTGAAAAAAAATCAGCCACCAAAAAAAAAGAAAACTATTGACTAAAACGGACTAAACCGACTATTTGGTTTTGTTTTGGCCTTACAGAAGACAAGTTTTGCAGGTTTGCATAGTGGAAAGTCTAAAGAAGTGAGGTTTGCGGTAGCATTATGGCTGCAATAGTCAAATTTATATTGTTACTTTGTGTTGCTCTGGTGAATCGCTTCTCCCTTTTTGGTCGATGTTTCAAATAAGGATTCATTCATTCATGATGTTTGTTTATTATTTCACCTCATACATATTTATGAGCCCTAACGCGCAATTCTCTGATTGGTCGTTGTTTCAAACGAGGATTTATCTTACTTGTGTGTGAGCAATGACTGTCGGGGTACAAGATGGTCGATGAGCTACCGTCAACAGCTTTGCCCGCTGGATATAGTCCTGAGCCGTGGGAAGAGCTTTGTGTGGCTGGTTTACCTACGATACCGAACCTCTTCGCTTTTTAAGGGGAAAAAGGGAGTTTAAAGTTGGAATAAAAACCTCAGATTACGAAATTGCTATGAATTTCTAGTTTCATTCATGAACAAAAGAGGTTCAACATTTCCAAAGGGACACGTCATCTTTTAGTGACTCAATCGATTCGCCGAAATATTAACCAAAACAAGCGATACTGTAAATAGTTATGAGAACCTGCTAACAGGATGAAAAAAAAATACAATGATGCTTACAAGACTAGGCTAATTGTCGAGCTGGACCTACACTTCTAGTTTTAGGATTTGAGGATTCTGAATCAGTCAGTCAGTCACTCACTGAAGTGACTCGGTCAGGTAAAATGCAAACCTGTTGGCTGGTCCTTCTGGTCCAGCAACTCTGGAAAATACCACATCGTCTATTGAAGAAACTTACTTGCGCATTGGTCCAGGGGGACTTCCTCCGCAGTGACCTCACAAAGTTGCAAGGTGCCCGTACGGGGGATATCAACGCTGATGTAGCGTGCCCTCAACGGCGAAGAGCAATCAAACACGATGGTTCCACCGTGCGGATTGGCTTGGGCAGCGGTGACATGTGAGCCACAGGTCGGGTTGTCGGTAGCAGTGGGGCTGTTACCAGCGCGGACATTAGCTCCTGCCAAACGTTCGCCTGCAAATTAAATTTCCAAAATAATAATTGTGTTTTGTTTGTGTTACGAACGCAACATACGCATATGGATGGTAATGTAGAAGTTGCCACAATTTTGAGGCCACGGGGTGCACTGCAAGAGAGGAGTAGTGTCGATAGTTAAGAAAAAGCTCAAATGTGTACAGTCCAAACCTTGAGGATTGAGGTCGGGTAGTAATATGGCTGTACATTATTCCCATAATTATCGCATAAAATTATCTCTTCCTTAGGCCTAATATTAATGACTTACTGCAGCAGTCTCCACGGTTCAGAATTCGGACTTTGCTGATGCAGTGTTCCTCCCCCAGATCGACCATCCACCACGGATTTTTCGAATTACCAGCTGAGCGAAAGAAAATAAATAGAACATTCGTAAAATAAGTCAAATATGGTGTAGGCTTAAAGACGAATTCACACAAATGTTGTGTCGATTGTTTACATTGTCGATTGTTTAATACTTCAGATATGTCACGAAAACAACTAGAAATATACAATCATGATCAAAATGAAATAACCGTCTGAAAGTGCCATAAAGGTATCCATTGTTTCAGTAAGATTGATTTATTTCAGGCCTATTTAAGTAAATGTTGGTGATAGTAGAATTATTTACATCCTCGCTCCTGTCTTCTCCACATGTTTTAACTATATTTTTATAAACATGTCATATTTTTAAATAATTTCCTTGCGGATTGAAATAAATATAAAAAAAAACTGTCGCATTCTACTAGGCCATTTGACACTCCATTTCTGTATTTTTTTTTTTTTCATTTGGTTTGGTACCCAAAAGACGAAGACTCTTACCAGTGTGAGAACATTTGGCATCGGGATACAAGATGGCTGAGGAGCTGCCATCTACGGCCTTTGACGATGGGTACAGATAACTACCTTGAGTAGAACTCTGCCATGTCACCTTGTCCACGATGGAGAGAGGTTGGCCGCCTGCAATGAAAACACAATCACAGAAGGGCAGACAAGATTGAACCGATATAGGAAACCTTTCCACCAGCTAGAATAAAAGAAAATACCGTAAGCTTTGTGATAAAGTTGTGGTGCTCGACCACTCTGGTACACAGGTGGAGAGCGCGCACTACTTACGCGCGCCCAAAAATCAGAACGCTGGCCTTTTTTTTTTTTTATTTCTTGTTCATATATTTTGTTTCATCATTGAAAAAAAAACACAATATGGATGTGTTTATATACCTGCCACCTCCTTTTCTTCAGCTCTCTCTAGCACACGTTCAAGCAACTCCATTTCAACCTGAAAGTGTATTTTAAAAATTCAGAGACAAAAAAAAAACAGATATATAATTTGCAATTCTTGATTTAAAAAAAAAAGAAATGCAACGAATCTCTCCAACAGTTTTGTTGTGTTAAAGGCAACTGATATTTCAACATTGGCTACTCAAAATTGCCTTAATGGTCCATCAAAAACTTAGTTGTCAGCAATGCTAGCTGCCCTAAGAAAAAAAGTCCTGGGTACGACTTTACAAATGCTATAGTTTTAAAACTCCATCAAACTCAGGGCAGGATACTTAATATGTACACCTGCAAACAGGTCAAGTTCACATTGTGCGTGAATGGTACGTAATTCTTATTGCCTTTAACATATTTTCACTACATGTTTTTGTTTGGCCATTTTTTTGTCATAACAGTGTTTGAGGCATATCCGGCAAAAGATACGAAAAAAAAATAAGGGAAGCTGAACCCGCCAAGAATAAACAATGTTTTCAAGGTACTGACGGATATTCAAAGCCGAATTTGATGCCTTGCTGGAATCAAAAAATAAGTTCAATGTAAAGTAAATCACCACTTGCCGAATCCAAGTCGATTGCACTGTGTTCCGTTCAAATATTGTTTTGTTAAAATATCTGGAAAATATGACTTTCACTTTTGCGTCTGAAAAGTCGTTTAGTAAAAACAAAATTAGTAATAACAGGGTGCCACAACAATCTAGAAGGAACCACCTATGTCGAATTTCATGTTTTTTATTTTAGATAAACCAATTCAAATTGCGATTTGTTACTTCGTTGGAAAAGAATAATTAGCCGTTGCGATGAATCAATGCCAGGGGGTCCGCTCATAAGTCCGACGCCTCATATAGGTACGACGCCTCATACGTCCGACAAAATCGCATCCCCTAACCAAATAAAGGCCAATAAGTCCGACACCTCGTAGGTCCAACGCCTCATAAGTCCGACGCCTCATAGCTCCGACGCCTTGTAAGTCCGACAAATTGAACGCCTCGTTTTGCCGTTGTCGGACATATGAGGCGTCGGACGTATGAGGCGTCGGACCTATGAGGCGGAATAAATAAATTTTATGCCTCATAAGGCCGATGCCTCATAAGTCCGAAATTCGGACTGATGAGGCTACGGACCTATGAGGCGTCGGACTTATGATACGGCCCCAATGCCAGTATTCCTTGGCTAATGAGACTTGCGAGTTGTCAGATTGTGAAACCCCTGGCCTTACGAAAGGTTGTGGTCATCAAAATGGTCTGGTTATGTAGCGTAAGATATTTGTCTTTACACTACGCGAAATAAACTTCATAGTCAACGTTCGTTTTTTTTTTTAATCTTTTGTTTTTGAGTTGAGAGAAGAAAACCATCTCACCTCGTTCATGGCGTCGGCGATCTGGCACCCCACGATTCCCAGCACCAAAACAGCAGCAGATAACCAGCGGAACATTCTCATCTTGATTTCACAAGCTCGGAAGGGAAAACGTTCTATCAAGCAAACTACAGCCTATCGATCGCTATCGAGACCACAAACAAGAGTGAGGGAGCGGCAGAATGTGTTATGCTTTTATACCCCGACACAGGCCTCCATCCCATAATATTTACTTAAAAAGGAAAGAAAAATGCGCATGACTATGGCGCATAACTTACAATTGCTGTATGGGGTCGTATGGGTACCTGGTAGGAAGGGGTACCTGGTAGAAAGAAATTCCTTCATTGGCAACCGAGCTAAAGCAAGGGTAGTAGTGGAGCGCTAGGAGCGTCATTATTATTATTACATATTATTCCAAATACATACATTTACATATGACCTTGTATCCAAAATGCATGTACTTGAATAAGCTGATAGAGGGACATATCAAGTTTCTAGTTTTCGTTACTGATGTTAGATGTTGTTATTTTTGAATGTTTTTCTTCTGTCAACAGGTTAGATCTCATCCACACTATAGAGCTTAAATAAGATATTTAAATAAAACCGCAGCTGCAAGTTTACTGATCTTTTGTTATAGTCCACCAAAACTGAAGACGTCAACGAAGCGACGATCCGTCTCGATTTCACTAGTTTCATTGTACAAAGAGTTCATAGTGATTTTATCATTCCATTCGGTGATTTCATCATTCCATTCGGCGATTTCATCATTCCATTCGGCGATTCATTCATTCTATTCGGCGATTTCATCATTCCATTCGGTAATTTCATCATTCCATCCCGTGATTTCATCATTTCATTCAGCGATTTCATCATTCCATTCGGCGACTTCATCTATCTTTGACGCACCGCTAGAAGGCGTTCTTTGAAGTAATGGCGACATCATACCAATTTTCATAATTGACATTCCTTACTGATTACTTGCCAAATTTATATAACTCGTTCAATTCCTCCGATTTCACGTTATATTCAATTTCCTCTTCCGATCCCGGTCCAACGACCAAGTGCCCTGAATTCAAAATATTGCCATAGACACTTTGTAAAGCTGATTCAAATTCACGAACTGTACACCCCAGAATACCCCTCGGACTTCAGTAATTACTGGCACATAGCCTAAAGATTTAGCATCAATTACTGAATCAGATGTACACTTGCCAAAGATGATCTCCAATATCTACAAGATAGAGTAAATGGTCCTACGCAGTAAGTTCACACTTACTTTCTATCAACAGAACAAGGAATATTTGTCCCCATTTTTTTCCCACCAATTCCCTCAAAGCCCCGCCTTTATTTCGTCACATTGATGCCAAAAGGCTTGGATTTGGGTCATAACATTGTTGCCGTATGTTTTGAACAAAAAGTGGTGCTCTGCGAAAGTGAATTGTTTATGTCTCTTCCTGCTTTAAGGTAAACAAGGGTGAGGCAGTCAACAAGTACAAAATAAATAGAGCAAAACAAATATAAATTTGGCACCACCTTAGCAAACAAAAAATGACCAACCGGAACAAATACCATTTCATTCACAAAAAACGAGTGTTTGGGCAGCAAAAAACATGTCAATTACTGTTATCATAGGCCGAATATTTAATTGTGTCGATTGGTGTGTAAACAAAATAAATTTCCAAATGGAACAATCACATGGTGAATGGAATATGATGTACATGTGATGGGCACTGGATTGGTCAGACCTATAGAAGAAAATGGACACATGATCACTTTACACTGTACAGGTTTCCATTATTTGATTTCAAAAACACTGTGCCAGCTATTGTGCAAAGCTTCTGCCCCATGAGTGCAGGGGCATCAATCCGTCGGGTGGGGATATGTCCCCCACTTTTTGACCGGGGGGAGGGTGGGCTATTAAATCACCCCCCGAATTTCTTGTAATGAGAGAAAAATGCGTATTTTGAGGTTTTTTCCGAACGTCCCAACAACTAAGATGTATTCAATAGCACTTGAAAGTTGAGAAACAAAGTACAAAAGCTTTAAACCTGTAAGAGCATACATTGATATACATCTTTATCCTGAAGAGCGCCCCTAGTATAATGTGGTGTCCACGCTCCCCCCCCCCACGCTTTTCGAATATCTACGCCCAGGCAATTTTAGGATTGTGGTCACCCCCCCCCCCCCTCCCTCGCCACCACAGATTTAAGCCACTGCATGAGTGATTATCTGAACAATACATTGATAGCCACATGATATAATTCATAGCATGCCTAGATGTATTAGGGCTTAGAGAGAAGAGGGTGTGCTTTTGAATTTGAGGAACAGTCTTTGATGAAAATCCGACAACTGGATGTCGAAATTGTTCACTTCCAGCCCATTCAGTTAGGGTTGGAGAAAAAACACCCAATGAGAACAATCCTCATCAAAACTTCCTTGTGCTTTCATTTCCTTGTGCAGATCTCCTCTGGGAAACTTCACATGTGACCTTTCGGAAACCATCGTTCCTCTAGTAGCCCTCCTGGAAATGTTTGATGACCCCCAGCCGCTCCCACCATCAAACTCCCTGGAGAACATCAACCGGACCTTCCGAGCAGCCCACATGTCACCGTTTGCTGCCAACGTGGCATTTGTCTTATACGGCTGCACCACCGACTCCGCTGTGACATACCGTATGCAGATGCTCCTCAACGAAAGCCCCGTTCAGCTCGGTTTTTGCGAGAGTCAGTTCTGCACCCTGAAGGAATTTCAGGTGGGACTTGAGGCAAGGATTGGGACTAGCAACTTCACTGAAGAATGCATGCGCTCAAACGCTACAAGACGGGACAACTCCAAAATAGAGCCTATGCATGTAATGCTATACAATATATATATATATATATATATATATATATATATATATATATATATATATATATATATATATATATATATATATATATATATATATATATATATATATATATATATATATATATATATATATATATATATATATATATATATATATATATATATATATATATATATACTTAATTACAGACGTATTTCACCTCAATTTGTTTCCCAGATTATTTATTAGGCACCACTTAATACATTGTACATTCTTAACAAAAGTAACATCTCGGCGGTTGTACCATACGTATCGCATTTTATTGTGTGTTGAGAAAAAAAACGTTTTAAAGTTGGTCACTATTTTGTAGGCTCATTCCATATACTCCCTGTGTAATAATTCAAACTGTTTTTTTTGCTAGTAAATTATAGATTAAACTTTATTATATGCAATCCGTGTTCATCTGAGTTGCTTTGTTTTTGAGAAATTCAGTTCCCAAGATACTCATCACTTCGTGAAACAGATTTTTATCATGTTCATAGTATGTCATACAACGCGCGTAATAGTGGCCGTGTGCCAGATACGGAGATACGTCGGTTCGTGAAATTAGCACTTTTTGTGTCGACGCTGCTTGGTGACGTCATCGCACTATGGGAATTAGCGTGTAAAGCGGCGTATCTTCGTGGTGCCGCATTTTTGATTTTTTTAGAGATACGCCGCACAGTCTAATTAGCGCTCTTAGTTAATTAGAACTCAGATCGGAATAAAACTTATTGAGAATGAGCACTTTGATGGAATAATTTTTGACAAAAACTCAATTTGGCAAAAAATCTAGATACGCCGGTTCGTGGTGAGACCGACGATATATAAAGGTCACTATTTTATGAAAGAAAATCATCAGTTTAATGAAATACGTCAATTTTTTTGTGTTATTAATGTGACTTGGTTATGTGACATTTAAAAAAAGAAACAATCAATCATTTGTGGATGTATTGCCAGCAACTTTACCGACTTTAATTACTTGAAAATAACTAGTTTTGCGGAGAGGGTTTACAATGTAGGATTTCTGCGTACATCTAACAAATCTCATTATGAACTGGCCTGGAACAGATTAACGGTTTACTTGTGACAAACAAAAATAAATAAATAAATACCATAATAGGCTATCAGCTTCGGTCCATTAATTGGGCCACCGGTATCCAATCAGTTGCCGTGTCACGCGTAGCTGCTCTATTTTCTCGTCCACACAACTTAACAGCAACGCGAGGCCAGCGAACGATGACCGTAAAAAGGGCTTCAGAACATTCGCAGTTTTCATGGCAAACCACAACCGATCCAAACAAACAAAGTTGTTTTAGGTTGTTAAAGACCTATACTTCATACATCTATCAAGGTATTTTTTTCTCAAAAAATGGATTTCGATGCATTTTGACGATATTATTTCACGGACAAATCGACTAAAAATTAGGTCATGAAATTTCCGGGTTTTTTTCGAGAACGACGAAAGTCTCCCAAATGTTGAGGTAATCAAACGAAAGAGTGAACCTTCTTCTACAAAATATCTCGTGAACGTGATGTCGTTAATATTTTAAGAATTCGATGTACACCTAATGTTTCCAGCAACTTCCATTTTTCACAACACGAAAAGATCGTCGCCATTGTAAAGCATAGAGCGAGGAACCCAAACACGGTGTGACCTTGTGACCCATACGCCCACTGATTGGTCGAGCTCGCGCTCGAGCATGGCCTGCTTAATATTCATAAGTCAATCATTGCCGTGCTATTCACAATGTTTTCAGGCCAACGTACATGTACGTCGGCGTACGTTTACACGCGTACATTGTGATTGCAAATCATGAAATCTCGCAAAAGTCTTCATTTTTCACCGGCGATTTGGACCAAACATTAGAAGTCTCCTGCACGTGTTTCACACAAAAATGAAGCGTATACTTTCCTCTATCTACTAAGCCTTGCCATTTGTCTCGGCCTTTTTTAAGAATCGAATGTACACCTAAAAACTATCGGCCCTCGATTTTGATGATAAAAAAATATGATTTTGTTTGACAGGCCATAACAACACTTTATATTTGTCAAAAGCAGTTATTTTTGTTATCAAAATAAAGCACACGATTTCAACTTTTCACTTATTTAGCCATCTTGGCCAAAAGTGCATGTATTGAGGCACTTTTTGTGTTTTTCTGTAGTCTCGAATAAATCTCGCGTACGCTTTTGGGCCATGCGTGCTTGACCTCGGGACGAGAAACTGAGGTCAAACAGGGCTGTGTGCTTGACACGGCTACTGACTGTATCAAACTAATGA